CTGAGGGCCTCACCGCCTCTCTGCAGATCCCAAGATCCCTAGAGAAAAGGTTGATGGTAGTGTCAGGCGGGGCTGGGGCTAAAAATAAATCAGCTGGGGCAGAGGCTGGGTGGTAAGGGCACTCCTCACAGGGTGGGGCGGGAAGGGGGACAGGCTGGATGCCAGCTGTAACTCCAGCAGAGTCTGGACCTAGAGCCCTGCAGGTGGGCAATGGGGGGGCAACTTGGCAACTCAGCCAAGAGAGGGGTGCCTACAGCAAAGAAGCTGGGCAGGGCAAGAGGTCAGCCCTGGATCGCAGCAGGCAGCCCCCAGCTGTGGCCCCTCACTTCCGGCTGAGTATTGATTCACTCAGAAGCTTCCTTAGGCACAAAGGAGCTTAGCCCTTCTGAGCAGATGACGAAGGCCACCTTGGGCCACGGGCAGGATCCGTCTGTTCCTCCCTGTGTCCTGGTGGAGGTGGGGCTGGGGCTGCCCCAGACCTAGGGCTGGAGGGAGGAGGCCCCAGGACATGGGAGCTGTGGAAGGAACCGGCACACAGCTTCCTGGGTGGCACAAGGCCAGGTCTGCAGAGCAAACATCTGTTAGCCCAGAGAACTAACCAGGAAGAAGCATGCAAAGGCCCACAGTGGGTGGGAGACTGCTGGAGACTTTTGTTTTTCTTTTTTGCTCTTCTTTATTTTACTATTTTTCTGCCATCAACAGGGGTTATTTCATAATCAGATTAAAAGAAATCTTGCAGAGAAGGGAGGCCATGGCAGGGGTGCTAAGAACTCCCAGTTGGGCAGTGCCTATGACTCAGTGAGTAGGGCACCAGTCCCATATACTGAGGGTGGCAGGTTCAAACCTGGCCCCAGCCAAACTGCAACAACAACAAAAAAACAGCCAGGTGCTGTGGTGGGCACTTATAGTCTCAGCTACTCAGGAGGCTGAGGCAAGAGAATCGCCAAAGCCCAAGAGCTGGACGTTGCTGTGAGCTGTGACATCACAGCACTCTACTGAGGGCGATAAAGTGAGACGCTGTCTCTAAAAAAAAAAAGCTCATAGCTAGATCTGGGCATGTCGGGGGTGGGGGTGACTTGGAGCCAGCCATGGGGCCCCCAGCTCACAGTGGGTCTCGCCACCAGCCATCCCACCCCACCTAGGAGGGCTGCAGGAGTAAGGGGTCCATGGGACGTGCAGGGGCCTGAGCCAGGGCAAAGAGGGGAGCTGGAGCTGGTAGCCCTGTGGGATAGCCCCCCTAGTTTCACCCTGCTCCTACACCCAGGGCGGTCAGGCCCAGGGCCCAGAAGGCAGGTGAGGGCTTCAGCCTAGGACCCCCTACAAGCCTCAGCCTCTGGCAGATGGTGGGTGGGTGGGGCCTCAGGGAGGGAGTTTGGCAGAAACAGGGCCACCTGGGGGGAGGGTCTGGAGCAAACAGCCCAATCAGGAAGATGCCAGAGATCAGAGCTGCCCCCACCGGGCTGTATCACCTCCTGCCCCTCCTCAGCTACTCCAGGGCCAAGGACACAGGTGACCCCAGTGGGGCCAGACAGTGGTGGAGCACAAGGGCTGCTGAGCAGTGGGGCCTGGACACTGGTGGCCGGGAGCACAGGGGCTGCTATCAGTGGGGCCTGGCTGCCCACCTGGAGGACTCTGTGGGGCCAGAGCCTTCCTTACACTTAGACGATTCCACCCTAGGCAAGTGGTACCCTGAGCCCCCAGCCCAGCTGCCACTTGGGTTACACCTTTAGCCACCCCTGAAACCCCTGTGAAGGCTGAGAAGTCAGAGCCGTCCTTAGGACAGCTGGGCAGTCAGCCAGGGCAGGCCTGGCCCTGTTCTCAGAGTGGAGAAAGCCCTGCTTGGGCTCCTAGGAGGCCGGGCCCAGAGCAGGAGAGATCTCTGGGCCAGAGCCCTGGCCCCATTGTTACCCCCAGGCCCACCCTGCCCACACCCACTGTGCACTCCTATACCATGGACTGGTAGGTGCTCCTCCTCCCCCAAGACCTTCTCCCAGTTCCCCCTCCCTCAATCCCTCTCCTCAGGTTCCTCTCTCACAAGACCCTCTCTAAGTGTCTCCCTCTCCTAGGCCCCCTCCCCAGGTCCCTTTCCCACAGGGCCCCCTCCCCAGGCATCCCCTTCCCTCCTACCCCTCCCCCACATGCCCCTCTCCTATCAGGACCCCTTCCCCAGATGCTCCCCTCCCCAGGTCTCTCGCTCATTGGCCCCCCTCCTCCAGGTGCCCCCTCCCCTAGGGCCCCCTCTCCTAGGCCTCTCTCCAGGTCCCCCTCCACAGGACCCTCCCCTGGGCTGTGAAGAGCAGGAGCTATAGAGGTCACTCTGACCAGCCTCTCTGTGGTGACAACAGGGCCTAGCTCAGGGGGTGCTAGGAGGCCGCAGGGAGTCCAGTGGTCCTCCCATGTAAAGCCTGGAGCAAAGCAGGGTACGGGTGGCTGGGTGGGGCCCCTGGACAATGCTCTGGCTACTGCCATCCAAGTTGGGGCCTGCTGAGCACTGCCATCCCAGGCCCAGTGGGCTGTGTACCCCACCCAGAGAGGGGTCGAGCACAGCACCAGCAGCACCAGGGGACCCAGACATTGTGTCAGGTGCCCACAACCTCAGGCCCCACCCTGGACGTCAGTAGAGGCCTGGGACCAACCTGAAGGACAGCCGCTCAGGTCACCATGAGCTGCCACGAAACTCAACTGATAGGAATGCAAGATTAATTTACCACTTATAGAAACATCTGAAGACTTAAAAAAAGTTTTAAAAAGGCCGCTTTCACTTTTAATTAGAACCACCAAAGTATACCCATTTCTCCATGCCCGGGCCAGGGCTGCACTGGGGCAGGGTGGAGAGAACAGGGCCTGCTCAGGGCTTGGCCTGTTGAGGCCTGGCCACTCCTCCCAGGGCCTTTGAGGCGCCCAACCCCCTTCCTCCCTCTCAGGTGCAGCTGGAGGGACCTGGGGTGTGAGCATGGCCAGAGAGTGTTCCCCGCAGGGATAGATGATGGCAAGAATAGGAGCAGGTCACAGAGGGACAGGCCCACAGAGGGACATGTCCAGCCTCGGGCATTCACATGAGGGAGCCCTGAGAGCTCCCATAGTGCCAAAGGGGACCCACAGGCAGGGCAGTGTGGCCACTGCAGGCCACCAGAGCTTTGCTGTTGGTTGTTTTGTTTGTAATTCCAGGACCAGCCTTGGAGCCTTTGCTATGCTGGTGTGTGTCTGTGACCCTCCAAAGTGGCTATGCTTCCAAATTTCTGTGGCTGTGTCATCTCACAGAACCAGAGTTCCAGGGACAACCCCACAGCCTCTCAGGACAGCCTATGGGGTCTCACAGGTGCTGGTGCCCACAGCCAAACTACACTTGAGGACCTGCTTACAGAATCCTGCACAGTTCAGTCTGGATGGACAGCATCTAGGCAAAGCCAAGGTCCTGGCCAATGATCAGCAGATAAGGCCCACGCACCCCACTCAGAACCACTGTCCTGAGCAGACTCACCTGCAGGCCCTCCTTACCTTCCCCAAGTCCTGGGCCCCCAGCAAGGCCAAAAGGGATCATCCAAAGCCAGGGGCTTAAGGGAAGCCCCCTGCCCCACTCTCCTAAGTGTCCTCAGGCCAAAAGAATTCACCTTCCTCTGGTTGGCAACCAAGCCTCCCCCACCCCAGTACCTGCTGGTCACATGGCCAGGCCTGCTTGGGTGGCCTGGGCTGGAGAACATGGGTGCGCAGACACTCTCGGCAGGGTGCAGGACCAGCCCTCTCCTGGCTGCTGTGGGTGCTGACACCTGTGTCCACCGCTCTCATTCTCAGCAGGGAAGCTCACCCCTCCCCACTGCGGGGCCCAGGGTAGTGCTGTCCAGGCAATTCCCCCACAGTCACGCAGGTACAGTGCTGCACCGTGCTCAGCGCACGTGTCTGCTTCTGAGGATACCAGCCTCCCGGCCGGTGTCCCTACCACAGGGATGTCTGCCCTCAGCTGTGTCCCTCAGGCCTGATGGCCCAAGTGAATGTGGGAACTGGAATCCCTCCCTGAGCTCAGGCCTTCTTGGGTGAAGGTGCAGAGACTCAGGCCCTGGTCCAGCCCTGCCTGACCACAGTGTGGCTGTGGAGCCACCCTGTCTCACAGGGCTGGAGGGTGACAGCTGGGGGTGCTGAGCCCAGGGAAGAGCCATGGAGCCTTGGGGGTAGGTCCTGCTGCCTGACCTGCAGGAACAAGGCTGGGTGCCACAGGCGGGGCAGCGAGGAATGAATGTGTCCAGGCCAGGGCTGCACGTGGCCTTGTCTCAGGAGGGGTGGCTCTTAGTCCTCTGGAGTTGTGGGTCTGAGTTCTGCTGGATATAAACACGGCCCCCTCCACGTGGAGTTTCTAGTGGTTCGGGGGACTCTCAGCATCCTGGAAGGGCTCAGGGCCTTAATGGGGCTCAGGGTTGGGAGGTCTGCCCAGGCAGGAAATCCCACCCGGAGGGCTAGGTCCCCTCATCTATCCGTGGCCCCTGCATGTGTACACACACAGTCCTCGCTGAGGGCAGTGATGCCCTGAGAATACAGAATGTTCTAGTGAAGCTGCCGCCTCTGGGCTGCCCTTGGCTCCACATGAGCAGACCAGGAAACCAGGTGGTGAGAGACACCACGAGAAGGAACAAGGCACGTGACCCCGGGCAGAGCAGCTGCGTCTCCCCAGGAAACTCAGCGTCAACCAGAAAACCCTGAGAGGCTGCAAGACTGGGCAGACTCAGATCCACTGCCCAGGGGAGCTGGCCAGTGTCCAGCAGGTCAGCACCTGGGCGGGGATGCAATTGGCAGGGCCGCGGCCTTAATGTGTGCAACTGTGGGGCCATCCCCGGGCCGTCTGCTCGAGGGACAGACATACAAGTGTGAGCCCGTGGCAGGGCAGTGACACCAGCAGAGACTTTTATTCTGCTTTACATATAAACTAAGAAAGAAAACTGATGTTCTTTTCTTTTTCGTCTTTAAAGTGACCAAAAAAGGGCAAAAGGAATACACACAACAGAGCGAGTTTGTTTTCCCTTTAATGTTCAAGCCTATTTTCAGACCACAGCCCCACACCCTCTACACATGCCTGGTCATTTGTAGCAGCATCTTGGGGACAAGGTGGCCCTGCAGGCCAGTGCTGGGCACCCGGGGTGAGTGTGGAGGGGAATGGTGGGCAGGCACTCTCAAGTGCACAGGGACCCCGAGCCTGGGCTGGGGAAGAGAACCCTAACACGTAATTTGGTTTTTGTGAAGCTTGTGGGGGCCCCAGGCGATGACTCTCCAGGGCTGGGCACGGCCACTGCACCAGCAGCCGGAGGAGGCCAGGCAGCGGGCCCTGTTCCTCCCATGGCTACCCAGCCTGGGGCCGCCTGTGCCCCAGCAATGAGGCAGCACAGCAAGCATGCCACTGAGTTTGGCCACTTCCCAAAGCTAGAGCCTATGTCACTGGAATAAACACATTCCGCCAAGAGGCTGTGGTGTGCTCTGGGGTCCTCCCTAGCACCTGCTCCTCTCTGGTGGTCTCACGCCAGCTGACCGTGTCCAGTGGGTTTCTGTACTCAGCTAGGCAGAAGGCATGGGTTCCTTCGGATGGACGTCAGAAACTCCAGGACAGCCATGCCCTCATCATTGGAGACCTTGGGGGAAGCACAAAGAGGCAGCAGTTACCTCAGGGTCAAGTGATAGGGGACAGGCCCCTTGGAGTGAGAGCACAGGGCTGGGGCGCCAGGGACCCCAGAGCCCGCTCTCCCATGTCAGACTTTCTGATGCCCCAGCCAGTCATGCGGGGAAGTGAGGGCTCCTCGACAGCTCGGGGTGGGCAGAGTGAGGGCAGAAGCTGCTGCCCTGGAGCTTTCCAGCCCATACATGGGAGCTCATGGCCTCCATGAGTGACTGGGGCCCTCACAGTGCAGACACTCCCAGAGAGACGTCTCCCAGCACCTGGGCCTGGGAGGAGCCAACTCCTACTCACCAGGTACCTGGGCCAGGAGGGGAGACCCTGAAAAGGAAATGCTTTCCCAGGTTGTGGGGCCCAGGCTCAGCTCTGCTTCCCGTATGTCCCCCACCTGCCCCCAACCCACACAGTCCTCTGGATAGCCACCCTGGAAAGCACCCCTGGCTGGGGGTACAGTCAGCTTGGCCTCGAGGCTTAGGGCCACCCCTATGCCCTGGAGAAAGCAGCTGAGCTTTTAAGGAAAAGAACTCAGAATCTAACAAACTGAGGGAAAGTACTCACAACCCCAATTCTCTACCCCTCAGTGTATTGGAGCTGTGGCAGGACCTGGGTGGGGGCACAAAGGAGGAAGGGGACACAGTGTGGCAGACAGAGGCGGGAGAGAGTGGCTGCTGGGCACAGGCAGCTCCAGGGAGGAGTTCCACGAGAGGGGCCCACACAGCACAGGGCACATTCCAAAATCCCCCAACTCCCCTAGGACTCACTCTGACCATCAGAGGCCACACAGTGAGGCCATCCCAGGCCCAGCTGGCAGGTGTGGTTTCTAGGTCTGCAGTCTCAGAAGCCCCAACCATCACATGAGGAACTGCTCCTACCTGAGGTGCCAGGCTGTGAGGATGGGAGGTGCTGGGGTGGGCTGCATGCATGTGTATGTGTGAGAGTGTTTATGTAAGTGTTTGCGTGTGTGTGCACAAGCATATGTGTGTGTGTGAGAGAGAATACGTGTGTGTTTGTATGTGTGTGTAGCTTGTGAGTTTGTATGTGTGGGAGTGTGTGTTTGTGTGAATGTGTATGTGAAATGTGTTAGTGAGTGTGTGTGTTTGCACGTAAGAGTATGTAAGCATATGTGTATGTGTGTATGCAAGAGTATGTGAACATGTGTGTGAGCATGTGAGCACCTGTATGCAAGCATCTGTGTGCACAAGTGTGTGCATGTGTATGCATGAGCATGTGTGTATGTATGCGTATGTGCCTATGTATATGTGAGCATGTGCGTACGTGTACATGTGTGAGCATGTATGTGTTTGTGTGCATATGCGCTTGTGTATATGTGAGCATGTGTATGTGTGTGTGAGGATGTGTGTGCATGTGTATCTGTGTCTGAGTACATGAAACATGTGTGAGCATGTATATGCATGTGTGTCCTGGGCAAGGCATCAGGCAGATGAGGGACACATTCAGGACATCCCAGCTCCCAGTGCTGCTGCCCAGTGAGCGCTGAGTCATGAGGAATAGCTGGTCAGTGTTGTCTCACAGATGTTTGTGACAGCAGTGGAAAGTTCCAATAAATGCCTGAAGCATGGAGGCACTGAGAGCTTTCCTTCAAATCTGGGGACAAACAAGTGACAAGACTATAAAAACCAAGCAGACAAAAGAAAGGGGGCAAAGATCAACTTGTCAGAGAACAGAGTTGAAAAATATGTATATTGGCAAGTGTCTGTATGGATAGGCTGTGATCATTAATCTAAATATGGAATCTTGATTTAGCCAAAACTTGCATTCCTGTGTCTGTGTGGCAGGGACTAGGGGTGATAAGATTGCAAAATCTTCATCTCCACAGGAAAAAGGCCCAAAAGACATAAATAATTTCCAAATTGAACTATCACGAATTACATAGAAGTTTGAAGATAGATGCTTCGTCATACCCTCTGTCATTAGTAGGTTCTTAGAATCTGAACACACACAACAGGGATATGTATGAAAGTGCCGTGACCACACAGCGCTCAGAAACATCTCACTGTGGTGAAATGCAAGCCAAGGCTGTCCAGCCCGGTCTTACAAGGCCCAGGAGGCAGATGGTCCTCACATAGGCCCCTGACACTGACCCCAAGCAGCTGCTGCCCTAAGCTCCCCCAATGCTGGCCCCCAACAGGGTTCAGAGCCCCCACCCCCCAGCACAGCCTCCCAGATGAGGGTTGGGAATGGTCAGATGTCTGGGCACCACCCAGTGGCCTCCCTCCAGGGGAACAAGCTGGGCCAGTGGGGGTTAAACCCTGAGGAATCCTTTGTTGAAGGCCAGAATGCCCAGGTGGGGATACCGGCCAAACCAGACCTTCCAGCCCTAGGCTGGACTGGCCACCAGGCAGTAGGGGCAGGGCTCAGGCCAGTGCCTGTGGGGCTCTCAGGGGCCCAGAGAAGACCGTGGGGTTGAGGGGATAGGGAGACCAAGGACACCCCCACCCCCTGCAGTGAGTTGCCCTGAGCTGAGCTCAGCACAGGACACTCAGGTCCTGGAGCCTCTGCACCACCAGGCGAGTGGCCACACCTGGAGTAGGGGAAGTGGTGCCTGCGCCCTGCTTGTCAAAACAGCATGCCAAGGCTCCAGCCAGCTTCAAAGAGCCACCGCGGCTGACCTCCAGGTGCTGGGAAGGCGAGTCAGCACACCCTCGGGGGTGCCATGGGTGCAGTGGGTACCCCGTGCCCACTCTGGTCCTTCTCAGGAACTTGGGGCTGGGTGGATGTGTGGCCTGTGCATGTGAGGGCAGCAGGGTTTCCCAGGACACTGTCTGCTGGGTGTAGACAGCACAAAACACATCCTGGACCTCACCACATCCCCAGACACTGCCTACCCAAAGTGACCATCTGGGCCCACCAGCCCTGGGGACTGAGGATTGGGCCATTCTCTCTCTGTGGGTATTTTCAAGGTTCATGGACATCTGATCCACGTCTATGTGGCCTGTAATGGACACCAAGACCCATGTCCAGAGGAGAGGCAGGGTGGGGGTGGGCTGGGGACAGAAGCAATTTGTCCTAAAGCTTACATGGGAAAAATGAGGGGAGTTCTGGGGGCATCTGGCCCCAGAGAAGTAAGGACGGAGTGAGGGGAGTTGGGTGGGGCAGGACAGGTGCACCCAGGGAACACAGGGCAAGTGAGGTTGGGACCAACAGTCTGGGCCTTGCACCTGTGGGGATAGGATAAGGGCCCGTCCCTAGGGAAACCTATTTCCCCAGGATCCTGGAGTATGGCCTGGGCCCAAGAGGAGGACCACAGGAGGACCCCAAGGCCCTGCTGAGCAGGCTCCACCCACAGCACTAACCTGGGCCACAGAGTGGGCATCAGGGCTGCAGGTCTGCCTGTGGCCAGGCCTCCTCTCTCAAGGATGCTGACCAGCAGCACTGCCTGCATCAGCCTGCCACCTGTCCCCAGCCCTGACCTTGGTCCAGCAGGAAGTGCAGGCAAGCTGCATCCAAACCTGGCCAGAGGAGGGCAGAGGCCTGGATCAGACATACCACGTACATACCTGGGCAGAGGTTTCTGCCCTAACCTTGGACAACAGCCCCTCCCTTCCCAGGTGAGGCATCCACTCAGGGTCCCTTAGGAAATGTCCCCACATTCTAGGAATAAGACCCGCTGTCTTTTCACCATGACAAAACACTGTCTAGATAGAATTTCTGTCCATGCACAGGGTAGCCAGCCAGGACCCTCCCCAGCTTGGCCTTGGTCCTCAGGACAGCCCACCCTGCCAAGCCAGGCCCCAGGGTCCATTGGTTTTCTCTTTCCCAGCCATAGCCAGACCAGGGCTTCCACACACTATTTCTGCTTTGACACCCCTGGTGCAAGGACCTCTCAAAGGCAAGGTCGCCAGGACAGGACCCAGACTGACCCACAGCTCAGCAGCCAAGCTGGGAGGAGCTGCAAGCCATAGCAATCCTTGGCTGGTGCACATGTCTCAGCAATCTTCCCTTCTGTGCCTCCCTGTCCACATTGCCCTCTTCTTACAAAGAGAAAGGGAGTATATGTGCACGTGTGCATTTCTACATGTGCATGTGTGCAAGCCCACGTGTGCCCGTGTGCATGTGTGTCTGTCCATGTGTGTCTGTGTGTGCACGTGTAGGTGTGTCTGCATGCATGTGGGTCTATGTGTGTGCACGTGTGTATGCACATGCAGGTGTGTCTGTCCATGTGCATGTGTGTCTGTGTGTGCACGTGCAGGTGTGTCTGCATGCGTGTGGGTCTATGTGCACGTATCTGCATGTGTGTCCATGTGCAGGTCTGTGAGTACATGTGTGCCCATGTGTGTGTCTGTGTGTCCACGTGCACACTGAGCAATGGCAACAAGCCTGGGGGGGACTAGAGGGCCTTGATTCTTCAGGACCCAGGAGGTGGGTGAGGCTCAGAGGACTGCTAAGCTCATTGAGCGCTAAGCTGTTTACCACTGAGACGGTCATGTGAAAACATGGCTCGGCCAGTCCATGCAGTCAGTAAAGGTGAATGCACCTCATGACCCCGTGCATCCCAGGCGGTCACTAAGGCCCTGCCAACACCATCCCTGCCCAGCACCTCCTTCAGACCTGCCAGGGCATGGTGGGCTCCTGCTCAAAGCCACGTGGCTGTACTTCGAAAGCACAGGCATCACTTTGTCAGTCCCGGGAACAGCATCCTGTGGTCCAACAGATCCCCTGTGACAAGAGGAACCATCCCTTTGTGAGAAATGTCTGCTGGATGGGATCAGCCAAACAAGCACATCCAATATCGTCACCCATTTCTCAGGAGGGAGAACTTGGTGTGACAGCCTGGTCGGGCCCACCCCCAACCCACAGGCTGACACATGACCAGGCTGGACAAACAGTGCACAAGGGCAGAATGCCCAGCAGGCCCCTGGGAGTTGCCAGGGGCTGTACATGAGGCTGATCAGGAAAAGGCTGTCTAGGCGGGTGTAGAGACCACAGCAGGGGCTGCTG